ATTACATCATATATTATTTGGGCCATACAACCCATTCGAGAATAGCCCACATTTGAAGCCCTTATCTGGTTTAGCCCAGGTTGTATATGTTGTGAAATTTAGTTTTCACCTGGTAGCCCACAAATATTAAAACAACGGTTTTCGTTTTTCAATTTCAATTTCTCTGTTTCTTTTTCTCTCTCTTCCTCACGTTTTTTCTCAGAGACGAAGGCAACCGACCTCCATTGTTGGGTCTCAACTATTTTTTCGAGCTTTCACTCTTATTTTCAGGTAATTTTCGATTCATTTTATGCTTTTACCACAGTTTTAGTTTTGAATTTTGTTTTATTTTTATTTTTTTTGCTTTTTGATTATGACTATTTTCTTTACAATGTTGTTGTGTTTTTCGTTTGATTTTGTGTTCCTTCTATCTTCGTTCTAGGCTTAAACTTGATGTTTCAGTTTGCATGCTTTGTTATTTCGACTTTTAGGGTAGAATTTTTTATTTTTTGAGTTTTGTTACAATTTGGGAAAATTGGCCTCTGCTTTGTGTTCATGGCCTTTATTTTTGGTTTGTTTTTTGTGTTTTCCTTCACTTGTCTTCACTTTGTTAAAGTTTTGTTTGTTTGTTTTATTGTAGAAAATGCATTCAAAAATACCTGCTTCTAAAAGCAAAATGAAGGTTGCTGGAAAAGGCGTTAAGTTAGATTTTGCGAAAAGATTGAGGGACTTGCCCTCAAGCCCTGATTCTGAAGCTAATGTGTATGTCCAGGCCCCAGATGATGATGATTTTGAGTCTCCCGCTTCTCCTAAAAACTCGCAACAAGAGAGCAGTCGAATGACTCATTCGCAAACGAGGAATACTCCCACTCCAGTTAAATTATCGAGGGACTTGCCCTCAACCCCTGCTTCTGAAGCGAATACGCATGTCCAGACTCCTGATGATGATGATTTTGAGTCTCCTGCTCCTACAAAAAAGTTACAATAAGAGAGCAGTCGAATGACTCGTTCGCAAACGAGTAATACTCATACTACGATTAACATCGTTAGAATAAGGAGTAAGAAATGTGGGAGACCTGAAAAATCAAAAGAAAAGCTGAAAGTTGATTTGGTTAATAAAGATGATGTAGGCCCCAGTGTTAAACCGAAAAGGAGAAAGATCAAGGACAATGGTGAGAGTGGTCTTGATTGCATATCGAAAGAACAAAGGTTTGCTATTCGCTGCAAATTGTATGAGAGAAGCTAAGCTGAAGGTATTCCCTATGTTGCTATTAATTTTATACATGCTTATACAATTTCATACAAAGTTATACAGCTGTTTATACATCTTTATACAAGTACTGCTACACTAATTTATACATATTTATACAATGTTTTAGTATAGTTTTTGTTCCTGATCTATTTCTTGTTATTTTTCCATATACAAGGTTGAGGACTTCTATATACATCCAGTTGATCATTTCCACAACAGGATTAGTTCCCATACCGAGACTGATATTGTGAGCATTTTGAAGCAATATTTGACGGACACCTAGCTTCAAATGTTCTGTGCTAGTTGTTTTGGGTACTTCTTGGACCTCCCTCAATTTAAAATTCAAAATCAACTTATTCATTGTATACTATTGAGGGAAGTCGTCCCAGGACGGGAAAAGGGAGTTGTGGGTGAAAATTAATGGTTGTTTGTTGCATTTTAGCATTGGAGAGTTTGCTGTTATCACTGGTTTGAAGTGTGTAGAAGAAGACGCCACTTTCTATGACAAACAAGATGTCAATAGGTTGCTAAAAGAGTATTTTCCAGGAGATGGAAAAAAGGCTATAACGAGGGGGCAGCTTCTTGATCGCTTCAAGAAAAAGGACTGGAAGTCGGAGAAGATGCGTTCAAGATGGCCTTGATGGTGTTTGTCCATCATTTCATATTCTCATATGCCAATAATCATGGTATCAACAAAGATGATTTTGATATCATTGCAAGTGGTCAATATCAGACGTATGCTTGGGGAAAAAAGTCATTTGAAGATATTTTAAAGACAATAAGGGACAGACAGTGTGACTATTTGATAATGTATAAGCTTGGAGGTTTGCCACTTGCATTAAAAATATGATTTTTTGAGTGTTGCTCTATGGTTGACAAGTATCTAGCTGTTCGTGTTGGCACAAATGTGCCACATATTCTTAATTGGAAAGTCACTGAAACTCCAACATATGCGGATTTGATTGGCGGGGTGATCATGTCTAGTATCAACAAGGTAAACATTTTGTACTATAATACTTCTTTATATATGATTTCAATTTTTTTGTAAGTATGTATATTTATGAATATGTCACAATTTTCTTTTTCTACTATTGTAATCCAGTTTTTCTTCTTGTAGTTGAACTATAGGAACATTTCCCCTACTCGTGAAGAGATGTCAACTCTGAACATCGACACGCTTTTTGAAGTTAATGCTGATGATGTTGCATCAGGGGAGGTGCCTGCCTTTCACACTGATGATTCTGTCGCTGTATCTCCACCCTATCCTCAGAATATGGAGCAACAATCTAAACAATCTTATCCTCAGAATACGGAGCAACAGTCTAAACGACCTTTTCCTCAGAATATGGATCGACAGCCTAACCTGAGTTATGATCCTTCGATGCACATTGATCTGTTGAATACTGAAGTTGAGAAGTTGATGAGTGTTGTTGGAAAGGTACTGGAGCTTTAGTTTTTTCTGTAGTTTATCGGTACTTTTTGTATATACATGATTTTTTGGTTATAAACATGGTTGTTGATTTACTTTTGTTATTTTGTTGTTGTAGTTGACTGATACAGTTACGACACTCAACAATTATGTAGTTTTTTCCTTTGAAAAAGTGTTCAGTTTTCTGAATATGAAGGAAACCAAGCAAACGAGGGAGGATGTTACTGATTCTAAGGTAATGTTTTACTGATAAAATCAAATCACTCAACAGTTATGCCTTCTCTGAATCATCACTCAACAATTATGCCTTCTCTTTCTATTGTTTTTATTAGATTCGTCAGCGCGTGTCTGATGATAATACATCTGGTCTCAGCGAATTTGATGGCTATCAATATGATGTTGTTCCTGACTTTGTCGATCAAGTGAATCAAGATAACGCGCTAGCTGACGAGAGAGTTACTGATGGTGTTGATCATGGTATTCGTTCTGCATTTTATCTTTTTTTTGTCTGATTTTTCTTTTCTTCCTTTTGAAAGTTTTTTATTATTGGTTTTCTCTGTCTAAAGGGCAGCAGGTGATGTCAAGGTTGACATATTTTGGGATGACATTGGCGATGAAGATTTAGCTGCGTTACAGATGTCCCAAATTGTGCTTCACAAACCATCCATCATAGACGTAGAAGATGATTACATTTTTTCTGAACGGTCAGTTCAACAAAAAATACCAGGAAAATATGCCAAATCTCCATATTTGCCAGTTTTTGATTAGGGGGCATCAGGATCGGCGAACAAGCTCATTTTTTATATCAAGCATCCTTTCACGATCGAAATTGATGATTTTGATCCATTGTCGCCATTGGCTAAAGAGTTTTGCGCGTTTGTTGATAATGAGATGGATACGAGGCGAAGGTATCTTCATTTTCTTTAATCTTTCATGTTCTGATTTTATACTTATCAATGAAGGAAGTTCTGATTACTTTTTATTTTTTGTGATTTGAAGTGCCAAAAATATATATACCGATGAAGTAAATAAGCTTGCAGAAGCTTTTACTTTTGGCTTGTGTCATGTGACCACGAAGGATTGGTTCCACTAACTTACGTATTGTGGTTGACCTTTGATTGACACGGTATTTAATAACTTTATGTTCTAATGCCTTTTTTTATTTGTTGCATATCTTTATTGTTTGAGACCCCCATAGTGTATATATAGCTTTGTAAAATCACAATATAAGATTGTATAACCTTGTATAAATATGTATACCTCTGTATAATAGTGTATAAATTTCTATATTTAAGATATCTAGTAATGATGGTTGTTCTGTTTTATTTTTTGTCTTAGAACTTGGATGTCCTCTTTTATTATTTGAGGAACTATTAGTGTACCTATCTGAATCTGATTTGTTTCTTTTTAATTACAGTGATTGTGGTACTTTTGTTGCTGGATTTACTGAGTATTTCATCCTTGGTAAGGAAATTCGAAAAGATAATTTTGATATTGTGACACTTCGCACTAGGTAGGGATCTCTATTATGGGATTATGGAAGGAAAAAACAACACTCCGGTGCAATTAATGGTGATTAAATCACATGGAGACTTTTCAGGAAGAGGAAGAGGGGACGACCGAGAAAGTAGTTCTGTTTTTTTCATTTTACTGTAGTTTTGCTATGTATCAGGAGTTGTTGCCTAGTTTTGTCTAAGTACTATTCTGCTACTTGTGAGATAACCTTAAAGGATATTATAGATGTTTTTATTTTTGTGTAATTTGTGGTAGTCATTACACATTGTGGTTGTGAATGAATTACATTTTAATGAATATTTCAGTTGCTTTTGTCCTTTAACAAAGTATGTATTTTCATTATGGTTGCAGTTTTGTTAATGTTGCAGGGTTTATACATATGTATACAATAATATACGTAGTTATACAAATTTATACAAACTTATAATCTCATTTATACATCTGTATACATATAATACCATTGATTGTTTGCAGTTCTATTTTGTATTTGTACAATCTATCAATATATTTAGCACAATTAAAAACAGCAAGACACTATTATTGGATAATCAAAACATGTATAATGAAAAATATTTAACATAATTGCAATATATAGTGTAAATTGTAATTCTTTATTGACATTTCTAACTCAATTGCTTGTGAAACTTAACTACTCAACATTTGTAACTCTATTGTTTGTGAAACTTAACTACTCAACATGACAACAAATGTAATAGAAAGTGTTATGTTTCCAACTATTTATTTTGGTCGATTCCTATATGTTTTTCTATTGTGACTACCTTGTCCACACACAGAACATGAAAACGCCCTCTTAGACTCTTTCTCTTAAGCAGGTTTGAGTCTTTCCTTTCTTGGCCTTCCTAAATTCCTTCTCCCTTTAGGTGGTAGGACCACATCTTCCAGCACCTCTGTTGGGATTACCCATAAACTCTCATCTGGCATTGGATGCATTGGAAATTCATAAGTTCTAAGGAGGCTATCCTTCTTGTAGTAAAAAGAGCAATACTGGCCAGGTTTTAGCTGCTGGTTCTTCAAAACCTCCCAAGCATGCAGACATGGAAGTTCATCCATTTGAAATTTTCTGCAACTGCATGTTCCCTCTTCAAGACACACTATGTTTTGCCTTACCCCTTCAAACATAGTATATAACTGCTCCGTAGCAGGCCTCACCTGCAAAAGTATTTTTTTTTAAAAAGTTAAAGAACATTATACATTATTATACAGAGTTATACATCCTTATACAAGCAGTAAAATGCAAGTCAGCAGTGCCAAGCATAATTATATTTGATTCATTTTACCGTCATTTGCTCCGATGCAATTAGATTTTCCCGAAGGAGTTTGTCGTACTTTTCGCCAAGCTCTGTAGATGTCTCCATTACACTTTTTCTGTTTTTGTTGTTCCACTGTTGTAGCAAATTTGTCATGTAATCCAGCAATCACATTACTGGTAACTCTCTAGCATCCTTGTTTACTGCATTAATTGACTCTGCAATATTGGAAGTCATTACCATCGACCTTTTCACTTTGGAGTATGCCCTAGACCACCTTTCGTAGCTAATTTTGAATAAGTAAGACTGCACCCTCGGATCAATTTTGCACATCTCTGTCATATGATACTCAAACTTCTCTATCGTGTAAGCTCTAGCCAAAGCAAAGAAGATATCCTGCAATTGTTTGTGATGTTTCTTGAATGTGCGCTTTACATTCTGCCACAAGTGAAACATGCAAATATAATGTGGTACTTCTGGGTACACAACTTTTGTAGCATTGAAGATGCTTTCGTTTCTATCTGAAACTATACACAACCCTTCCCTAACACCAAAAATACCCTTTATCTGGACAAAGAACCACTCCCAAGATTAATTATTCTCTGAATCTACAATTGCATATGCAAGTGGAAGGATTTTTCCTGTTTATACAAAATAGATATTAGGATTTAGACAGTTATACAAATCATATACATAGTTATACAACTTTATACCAACTGCAAATTTTATAAAAACAACAGCTGTAAAATCCTATACACTTTTATACACTACAACATTATACAAACTACAGAAACAAGGTAGATGCAGTCAACTCACCAGCTCCATCCTGTGTGCAAGCAGTCAATATGATACCCTTATATGCTGCTTTAAGAAAACTTTCATCAACAACCATTATCGGTCTGCAATGCTCCCAACCCTTGATAGATGCATATAGCGAAACATATGCATAAAGAAAGCATCCATCTTCTGATTTGTGCAACTTTGTAACCGTTCCTGGATTTGTATGCTCCAACATATAAAAATACTTCGGCAACTCCTTATATGAATCACTCAGACTCCCTCTTATCATTGCCGTTGCTATCTCTTTAGCTCTCCATGCTTTCATGTAGCTCACTTCAATCCCCGTGTTGCTTTTGGATATCCTCTATTATATCATTTGCGGTGTAAACGTTTTTTGGATTAACATACTTGTCCTTGACTATACTAGCAATTACACCCGAAGTAGCTTGACATTGTGTTAAGTATCTTTCACCATAGCCGCATGTGTGATTATTATTGTAACTTTTCACTTTAAATATGTTTGCCTTGAAAACGACAGAAGATTTGAAACTCCAAGCACAATTGTCATCCACACACATAAGGTGATACGTAGGATTAAAGATCATTCAACTTCTAAATACACTTGTATACAAAAACATAACTAGATATATACTAATTTTAATACCTATATACAAATATATACTACTTTATACATATTTATACATATATATAACAAAATATACAACTATTGACATACCTTGTTGCGCTTGATCTCTTCACCTTGTATTGGAACCTCTCGCGTACAGCCAAGTTCTTCATCATATTCATAACTATCTTTTTATCTTTATAAACTTGATCATCTTCAACAAATTCGTTCAACATATTATATATTATACCCGTGTTTTCACTAAATTTCGTGTTTTCAATGAATTCGATATCAGGCATAATCTCAGTGCTATCAATTGTGGATACATCTATAAAATTGGAACTTGTAGCAATCAAACAACTAGAACTTGTAGCAACCAAACAACTGGAACTTGTAGCAACCAAACGATTATCATAAATCTCTTTAACTGTCACAAACAAGGGGTATTTAGTGAAATTCAAGTTTTTCTTCTTTAATTCGATATACACCTTAACACCCGTATCGTTGTAAATCAGGATCGGTGGCAAAGCGTCATTTGGGAGAAAGTTAATCTCTATTGTGTTTAACTCACTATCGATCCTAATCTATTCCGAAATAGCTGCAACTAAATTGTTGAAGCTGAATGTCGACTCGATTATTACACAATCGCTAACGAAATTGATAAACTTGTTTTTTTCCCATTCACCACTATGAAGAACGTAAACTGGAAAAAGCTCCATCGAACAAAAAGTTGAAATCAAAATTGCAGCAAAAATGAAAATTGCGCTGATTTGCAGCAAAAAAATTTCATTTTTCGTGTTTGATTTGCTATTAATTCGAGATGAAAAAGAATTTCTAGGGTTTTTGGAGCTCCATTGACTGCACGATCGCGTTTTTGTAGATTTGGGGAAGAAGAATGGAAAGAATGAGAGAAAATCCCGCTGAAAGATACAAAATTCCGCTTCTGACTCCCAAAAACCAAAAATAACGCCCTTTTTTTTCCGGATATAGGCCTCTTTTTTTGGGATACTCAATTGTAAATTGAAATATGGGCTATAAAGTTAAAAAGTTGTTTTGTTGTTTTAATATGAAATTTTCTCTTTAAAAAGGAGAAGAAGGAAATTGTAAATAAAACATTCACTTGGTAATAAAACTATTTTGTTTACCAAAAGAAATAGTAAAACAAGTGATGGAATTAGATATTAATTTTTTCTTGATTTTTCTATTTTTCATAAAGAAATCATCACTTATATATTTAGATTGGTTTAAGTACTTGAATCCAAATTAAGAGACGACCTGAGGCTAATTGGGTAGGTGGGGTAGGCGACATTGGTTTAACGTTCTTTGAAAAGACAAATCTGGAAGTCTTACTTAAATTTTTCTTTTTTCGATGAGTCATAATAATAGGAGTAATAATCATAGTGCTCGGCACTAAATTTAATTGAAAAAAGGGCGTTATGAACAATCAAGCACTCTTGAGGATTAATCTAATCTTATAATTCAGTTTTCTACTTTAATATTGTGATAATCAAAGTCTATATATATAGTCATGGCGCAACGTGATTGCAATAATCACGTTAAAGATGACCTGATGATATAAAAATTTCGTAGGGGACTTCTTTCGGAATAAGTGGAGAGCAACTGTTGGTCTCTTAAAGATAAGGTAGAATTAAATGAATTTAAATTTTAATAACTATTCAAATAAACCAAAAAAGATATTCAAATAAGCGAGATATTATAATATTATTCTAAATTACATAAAAGTAATAACATCAACAAGATATATTTCTGTCTTAGAATATTTGAGTTAAAAGAATTTGGTCACTAATTATTACGAATTGAATCATGGAAAAGTGACAATACTATGGGAGGAAGTATTTCTTTATTAGTACTTCTTGTTTCTGAAAGGGGTCAGTGTTAATCTATGAGTACCTCATCTTTATTAAGTTTTTCCTCCTGCCTTTAAAAAGGATATTAATAATATAACATGCAGTTTTTTCCTTGTGTTTTGCTTTGACACGTCTTACTTTTTGAGATTCTGAAACCAAGGGCAAATTTATTCATCAACTAGGAATCCAATATTAGTTGGGAATTTGTTGGGAAAAAATGATTTTCAAAGAATGTGATATCATGCAGATTATGTCCCCAAAAGCATGCAGATAGACAAAATAGGTTATTTGACATCATAAGAGAAAGTGATTGTATCATGAGAAATAGTAAATATATAAATCTTTTCCCTTTTAATCTCTCAAAGTTCAGGTCATCATATATAAAATTTTATTTTATTTTATTTTAGTTAAATGCTTTGCAAGTAAAGCTCACCAGGATAAAGAATGATTCCCTTTTTCCTTTTATTTTATTTTATTTTGAAGTATTTGATTCTTGTTGTCTTCATTCATTTTCCAAGGCTCCGAGGAAGCTTGACGTTGGTCATGAATATATATCCTTTGTTGGGTTGGTTTTAACTCAAGATGGATCAACAATCCAGTATTAACTATATACGATGTTTATTTTTCTATCAAATGCAAAGTACGTAAAATTATTTTACTTAAAAAATAGTTGCTGATGTCCGTGAAAACCATTGTTTTCTTGCACCCATTTTCTTGATATTTAGCGCGACTGAAAATGGAGAGAACTTTTCTTACTACTTGGTTAAAGTCGACTTCTTATATCATGCAATCTAGAGCCCGTTTGGACATAATTTTTTTTTCCAAAAAATTTCACATTTTTTCGAAATTCGCGTTTGTTCATAAAATTTCCAATTTTCACTTGAAGATGTATTTTGAAAATTTTCGAAAATTTGAAAAACTCCAAAAAACTGTTTTTCAAAATTTTCATTCAAATCACTTACAAAACTTCAAAAATAACCCAAACTGAAATTTATGTCCAAACACAACTCTAAATTTCAAATACCATTTGCACTTGAAAAAGTTTTTTACCTTTTTTTTTTTGAAATTTTACAATTCTTATGTCCAAACGCCTACCTAGTATGTGTATTTTTCAAGAACTGCTGCAAATGGCGGGTTAGGATCAACTTTTGAAACAGGCTTACTAGAGACCTCAAAGTCCGTTTCCCTCCTGACCGGAGGCGGATCCAAAATTTTTACGCTATGGGACACATTATTCTGCTCAACCAAAACCCCCTAATGACTTCTAGTATTCAAGGTGTCAACTTCTTTAAATTAATCATTTTCAAGGTATATATATATACATATACATGTACATACAAGATTTCGACCGAAGTTTACGGGGTCCGGTGACCCTTCACCTATACACATGGGCCCGCCTCTGCTCCTGATAAAAAAAAGCCCAAATAAAAAAATTTACAAAAGGGGCGAATTGGCCAGCAAGGATTAGCTAAATTGATTGTGTGAGTGGTTTTCCACGTGGGAGACCTGAGTCGATTGATCACCAGCCGCCTCCTCAGTAAGAGCTTGCTGCATCGGGCTTGCCTAATATGATTTATTGCACAACGAATAAGTTATGTAATGCTCACCCAAAAAATAGCGGCCGCAAATTTTCCTCGAAATTTTCCAAAAAAAAAGGGACGAATTGTAGTACATACGATTTACCCAGATTAAATTTTTAATGTTTCCTAGCTTTGACCTGGTAAAAGTCCTCAGTCAAATTATACTTTTAGAATATCGATTATGGATGTTTAACAAACTGAAGTCAGACACATAGTGGGTAAGAAGACATAATACAGTAAACGAGACAGGAAATAAAATATGAGAGTACACGAGGCATAGAAATAAAATACTAGTACCTAAACTTCCAAAGGGAAAAAGATGAAGAGAAACATAGATCTACAGATTTGGTTGACTTAGTATTTGGATAAACACATTTTTTTAACAAGTCAATTATGTGAATATAGTGTTCTCATCCAAAAAGAAAATAGTATAAAGCACAATTTTCATTTGGATTTAAGTTTTGCTTCGCCCATTGAACTTATAGTCACTTTTTAAAAAAGTTTAATTGATATTCAAATTTTGGGTAACTTCGTATACATATACTTTTCTCTTCTTCTTCGATGTTGCTTTCTTTTTCTTTGTGCTTAGGGTTTCTTCTTCTTCTTAGTTGCAAAATGAATTGCTAAATTTGTTATTGCTTTGACAATTTGATGATTAAGGTTTGCTCTTTATGATATTTGAAAGTTGTGTTTCGAATTTGAGATCATTTAAAGTGGATTTGGGCGTTGATCGTGCGTTAGATTGTTCAAATTTGAAATCGTGTATTGCATTTGGAGTAGGCATTCAAATGTTTCAAATCATGCGTTGAGATTCGAAATCTGAAGTTGTATTAAAGAGATTGGATTACTTCAGATTCGAACGGGTATACTTTGCAAGATTTTATACAATGCGGGCAGTGACGAAGCTAGGAATTTCATCTAAGGTATTCAAACTTGAATAAAGTAAAAACAAATCTCCAATAAAGGGCGTTCAATATATGTACGAATTATTGAAGGAATGATTTGTGAAAATTTTCCGTGTGTATTTCTCTTCACAGTGTAATCTATATATACAAAAAAATAGAATCTAGTCTAAACAAACTATGCCAAGTGGAAGGATTTTACTAGCCTACTCCTAACATCTATCGTAACAAACTAAAGGAATATTTACAAAGAATAATTCTATCTACAATGCAAAATATCTGTTTGTATCTTCTGGGCTCTTCTACAATTGGAACGATGAAATCACTGAAGGTTGAAGGCCCATTTGATA